GCTGCTCCACCGTGTCTGATGCCAGCTCCTGCTTCATGAGGTCCAGGTAAGTCGCCTGGTTGGACAGCGTGCGTTCGTGCAGCCACGCCTTGAAGACCTTGTCCGTGAGGCTGGTGGGAAGTGGTACCTGTTGACCCTTGGGATTGCTCTGACGTAGAAGTTCTGGATCCAGCGTGATGTCCGGGGCAACCTCCGGGGTCTTGCGCTTTGCCGGCCGTCTTTTGGGAGCTGGATCAGCCTCCGGGGATGGAACTGGTAGGGGAGGTCCCTGAGCATCCGACCTCGCCGCGTTGATGTAGAGGGACTGGTCAGAGCGGCCGGGTGTAGGTGTCCAGGATGCGGTATTGGAAGGAGACGAGGATGGCTGCTTCTTGTCCGGTGTGAGAGTGATCCCTTTGTTCTTGTAGCGTTCAAGCTGTTGTTCCAATTCGGCAATTTTGTGGCGAGTGAGGTTCTCCTGCTTGGCGGGCTGCAGCGACTCGATGAGATCCACGATTTTGAGCGCAAGTGGCTCCATAAACTGCATAGCCTCGTTGCGCTTGTCCGGTGCATTGTCCGCGTGGAGAGAGCGGGCCGTCCTGTCGATGTCGACCTCCCTGCCTCTCAAGGCTTTGAGAATAGATGTCAATAACACCGCCTCGGCTATTGTCTGAGCCATTACCGGTGTACTGTATCGCCCGTTCGACAGCGATCGTAGTGCGTGATCTTCTGCTCCTCCTCGAAGAAGTCGTGTCAATGGGAGATCTCAGATTGCTGTTCCTGCGAGCCCGACCCTTCTGGACCATTGAGTGGGTTGAATGTGACGGTACAGTTGCAGGCCGCGGACCTCCGTCTTGTCGAGGAAGATGTCATCAGATTGAAAGGTGCTGGGAAGCAACTGCGAATATCGAGGCTGAGTGTACTGCGTTGCATCGCCTTGACCTAGAGGTGCACGGGCCTGAAGTTGAACTGGTGGTGCTGGTGGTGGGGGTCGAGGACCCGTCTGCATGTAGGTTGTGCCACCACCATGATAGTTGTAGAACTGACCAGGAGGCTGAGGAGGGAACTGGCAAGCCATATGTGGAGGCCGAGGAGGATTAACCCGAGATGCTGCTATTATCGAGGTTGGTGCTGCGAAGATTCCGTCCGATTGGAGCTCAAATTGGCTTCCTGCTGGGACTGCGGTACTGACCATGATGGAAGGTGCGAAGATCCCGGAGGCGAGGAGGAAGAGGGCGCCGACGTCGCCAGCCATGAATAGGTCCACTGGGAAGCCATCACGGGATGAGGGTTCATCTGCGACACTTGCTGATTGATTAAACGCTAGGCATACGGCACGAATTGTCGAAACGGTCACCGATTTGCAATCAAGCCCAGGGCATTAAAACCTAGAAACAGCGATTGTCACTGCGGGTCAGCACATTGCAAAAGAAACCGCAAGAAGACCAACAAAATAAAAAGTCGTGCTTGAGTAAGGCTCTAGCATGCACTTTTTGTCGCAAAATATCGTCGGCGGTCGAAGACGGCAGTGTGGTGAAGAATGCTCTTATTTGCAATGAAACATCAATAATTGTGGCTTGCTTCTGGAATCACCATCCAACACTTGCCCGACACATAGTGGATGACATCAGGACGCTCGCTGGAATCCAAAGCCTCAATGCAAGCTTGCTCTCCTCCCGAACGAATCGGCTGACAGGTACCGACAGCGCGCCCAAACAGCAGCAATTGGGCCATGTTGAAAGACATACTCCAGTTCTGGCTCATCGTGCGGGCAATTTCTTCAGCATCATAATCGGCGTGTCCAGTGATCTTCCAACCTTGGGCGTAAAAGGCTGGGCACTCCGAGGAGTGCTGCCTGGAAGGATGTGTCTGTCGGCTTCGCAGTATGCCTCTGGTGCCGCCGACACTGGATGCGTGAGTCCAGAGCAGCATGGGCCTCGTCTTCGTTGGTTCTTTGAGCCGAACTGTGGCGCCAAGGTAGGGGATGGTCAGCATGAACCAGTGTGGCGTGATCTTGGAGTAGTGATGTTCCGGGTTGACCTTGGCATAGTTCAGGGTGGAGTGCCGAGACGGTATGCCTGCTGCATTTAGGGTAGCGGCCACATAGTCCATCTGCTCCTGATTGACCGGGATCCCGTCGCGGACGTACGGCGAGGCGAGCGCCTGAAGTTCGTTCCTCCACGGGTCGGACTCCGGGTTGGGAAGCAAGACCAGCGGTGGGTGCACCTGTGGATTTGGGCGTAGCTGCATGCTTCTCGAGGATGACTCTGCATCTGGATGAGCACCTGTGGCCTTTGAGGCTGGAGCTGATGGGGCACTGCTTCTGCTGCGCGGAAGTGGGGATCGGTTGCTTCTCGGTCGCCGGGATGAAGCTTTAGTCGCCGTAGGTACTCGGGATGAGGATTTAGCTGCTGTAGGCGCCGACGCGGCGAGAGCCGGTGCTGCCGTGGTTGAATTATCCGATTTGGCGTCCCTTCGGGAGATCGGTGGTGGCGTCCTGGAGCGAGCTCGACCTCGACGCTGTGGAGGCACTGACTTGGAGTAGGGGGATGCGTTGTGGGAACGTGACCGTTCTCCGTCCGTTGTGTGGCGTGATCTTGCTGGTGGGTTGGCCGGTGGTAGCATCTGACCTGATGGAGTTGCCGTAGGGGTCGGTGCTATAGGGGTCGGTGCTGTGGTCTGAGATGGACATGCTGTGGTTGGAGCCGTTGGGGTAGTCGGCGTCATTGGAGTCATTGGAGTCATCGGAGTTGCTGGGCGCGCCTTCACCAGGATTTGCGGCAGCGGGCCAGCCACTGATGCCGGCCAGACAGGCAAGGTAGGGATGCCGAGGCGTCACCGGCAGCGCTTGGTTTGGTGGCCCTTGAGGTACTAGACAACGCTCCAGAGATGCTGGGAGTTGGTGTCACAAGTGCACTCCTGCTCGGTGATGCTGTCTGGTTTACTGGTGATCTAGGTGGCGTAGGGCCCGCAGTGTTCCTGGATGCCTTGGTCATGGGCCCAGCTGAGTTCGACATCGGGCCTGCGTTGGGCCGTGGCATCGGTTGCCTGCAATTGCGAGCCAATAACCAACTGACGGCGTCATGGATTCATGCCTGATATGTCAGGTAGTCTGGCAGTAGGTCAACTGGGGAAGTCAACCATGAAATAATCTGGGGTGCTGAAACGTCTGGGACATGTCCAAGCCTGTGGTGAAGGGTCAACGGGGAGATTCCAGAGTCGCGAGCGACAAGGTCCGGTGGTTGTCTGAAGAAGGTGTCGGTACATGGGTCATAACAGGTGCCCGCAAGGGGGATCAAGACACTGACCGAAGCCCGGACGCAGTGCCTAAACACACTTGATATGAGACGGCAAAACTGACAATGCGCACCACCATGCAGGCACAGGCGCTGCCTTGGAGCGGCTTGAGAAGGCGCGCAAGGAGCTGGACGAGGCCTCCAGAGAGCTCCTCGCTGCGCTGAACCTGCAGGGCAGCGCCACCGACTCGCTGTGACGCGGTAGAATCCGGGACAGAACAGAAGCCAGGACATGACAGAAAAAAAGAAGCGCTCGTCCGACCGACTGAATATTTTATTATTTTTCTATAGATCAGCTCAAACCAATTCGCACCATGACCTCCGAGCTGTCTGACCGCATCTGGGGCCGCCTGGGGCTCAGCGCCGTCCGGGCGGTGCCTCTGGAGGAGCCGCGCGCTCCTAGCGCCGAGGCCGCTGTGACAGAACTGCGCCCGCGCGGGGCCGCTTGGACCCGCGAGCTGCGGCTGCGCCCTCTTCCTGGGCAGCAGGTCTTCACCATCGATGCCATGCGGCTGCTGGTGGACCGGCTCCAAGACCTGCTGGCAATTCGGCTGCCCTTCCTCGCCAAGGTCAGCTTCCAGATCCTGCTGACGCGCCCGGCCGCGAACGATGAGGACGAGGACAGGGTGGAGCTCACGCTCTACTTCCTCAGGCTGGCGCCGTGGATCGTGAGGCCCGCGCCTCCGTCGGCCCGCGCCGGAACCATGATGGCGGCCATCAGGACGAAGTTCGAGGTGAGCGCTCCCGCTTCCCCGAGTCCGACTGGACCGTCGTGGGCATCACGGCAGCGTATTTGCTGACCGCGCCCTCGCAGCAGCTGGCCGACATGCCCGCGCCCCCGCCGCCCAACGAGGCGGGAGGCTGCTGGAAGGAGCTGCTGTTTGAAGGTCTCCGGCAGGGCAATGGAGTTTCGGCTTACTGCATGCTCAAACATCTTTCGTGCCACCGACCATCCTCTTCAGGAACGCCATCGGTAGGTGACACTACTTCATGTTGAGACATCCAGCAAGGTGGCGTTCGACTCCAAAAAAGACGGAACCGCAGAACCCCTTAGGAACAGGGGGGCCACACACACACACACACACACGGCGCTAAAAAGAAGTGCGGCCTGCATTCCTGCATGGCAAAGCGGCTCTTGCCATGTTTCTGGATGCCAGCGCGTGCGAACGATTCGCGGCAAGGTCTTGCGAAGTGAATGTTGATCCATTTCGTGGAGTGTGTCAAAGCTAGAAACCCACGTGACCCGTCAAACATTTGGTCTTTGGCCCGAGCCCGTGATCATGTGACTAACAAAGTCCTGGATGGCCTTTACCCTGAATCATCCAGCAATCGAAAGTCGAACTACTGATACCTTGTTGAAAGGGAAAACGCAAATGAAAACCATCATGTTTGGGGGGTCCTCCAAAAACGACGCATACACATATGTACACGTAAGAAGGGGTCCACACGTGTCTCCCACCTTGAAAAAAAATGGATATGATTCAAAGCCTGATCCCCCAAACAAGTCTTTTGGTATTGGGCTTCCATTGAACCACCCGCCCCAAAGAGCTACCCTGCAAACACACTGCCGACTCTTTTTCATGCCAATCCTTGCTAATGCTCGGGGAATGAGGGAATGAATGACCCCACCATCCCTCGTTTCCTTTAAGGGGACCAAAGCCTGGGATTCTTCCCGCATTCCCTATCGCACCCATCCATCGAATCGATTCGACGCGCGGCGAAAGCCTTCTGGTTGCCTTCCATGTGAAGCTCCAGGACCTTGACCTATGGCGAAGGTGGCGAACTGGTGCCCTTGCCCCAGTTCAGGGCGTCTCTGAATCCATGTGGTCACTTTGGGAGGTGGTTTAAAGGGAATCCAACAGGAAAACCCGGCATTTTGAGGGTTCCCCCCATTCTGAGACAAACCCATTTGGGGTTGGTTTGAAAAGGTAACCGTTCAATGAAATCTCCCAACACAGGTGGGATCAAACCCACTTTGGGAGAAACGGAAAATCACAATGTCGGTGGTCTCACTTCAAAACGGAATCCTTACTGTCGAATTCCTGACTACCCCAAAGGGTCTTAGGATGGCACATGTGGGTCTGTCTTTCTTGAAGGCTCGGTGCCCGAAAATTTGGGGGGTTGCAAAGGGAAAGCCAAACGACACCTCCCACGGATCAAACACCATGCTTTTTGTGGTCCATCATTTGGAGACAAACCCAGAATCAATCATGGACAAACGACGGTCATTGTGAGGACTTGGGGTGGACACCCCTGCTCCTCTCCAAACGATAGACCACCAGCAATACTGTCTGACACGCATGTGATGTTGTTTGTGAAACGGCTTCCAAATCAGGGACGATTGATAAGCCAAACCTTGTCTGTCACAAGAGATCTTCTCTCCGCGCCAAAACCTATCCATCAGCAAATGGATTCCACGCACGGCCAGCAAAGGTACAAAGTCCATGTTCAAACATGTTAATTTGGGTGTGTCTTGTTTCTAGTGTACCCCTTTTGGCTGGCTTTCAAGGGAAACCAGCCAAAAACCAACCAGTTGTCGGGTCGCCAAAAAACCGACATGCACACCCATTTCATCAACTCCGCTTTCTTCTGCTCAAATTCCGAGGACTCACCGTCCAATTCGGTACGACCTTTCATCATGGCTGCTATGTTTGAGTGCCGGGAAATCGAGTGAGGGCCCAGATATGGGGTGGCTGGCTGTGGCCCCATTACGTCTAGTTCGCACCCTTCGGTAGGTTGCAGGGAATCACCCCCAATTGCTCACTTCGATAACCGACCAAACAGTCAAAATAATGACTTCAACCCCGCATGTACCGAGGGTCTTGCGTTGTTGTGCTTATGGGGGCCAGGGTCTGTGATATAACGTTCCCATCGTCTCAAGAACCTCAAGCAAGCCCGTGACCCGTTGGGCAAGTTGTTTTGCCAAACGAGGCCCAACAAACATAGGTGCACACTCTGCATCTCCATCCACCTGTATCGCGAACCCGAAACACCTTCAGACTGCAGGAATTCGAAGGGCGATCCAAACAAATCCGGCTTCCCGTTCTGCGACCCTTTGCCCTTACAAAACAATACCGGGTTCCCAAAAGCTACCCTAACATGTTGTGTTTGTTCTTACTCAACTGAACCTTCCTGTTGATCGACGTGCCGTCTTTCCACATTGGTATGAGGCCGCGCGGGAGATCGGATGAGTTCTGGTTCGAAATCAAGGGCCGCGTTTGGCACCTATCCGTACAGGGATCTGCGGAGAAGTGTGCTAGCCGTTCGGGTGAGTGTACCTGGAAGGTCACCTCGACGGGAAGCGCCACACGCAATGCTGTCATGAAGATGGCATGTTGTCTTGCCCTCATTCCGGCCTGGGTAGTACTCTGCTCGGAATGTGCGGGTAGCAGGAATGCTTTACATAGGCTTTGAGCGAAGGCCAAGAGGCGTAGTGCTTGTCCGGGCCAAACTTTGTTTGTCCGCGTTGCGGTTGTCCTCCTGTTGGTTTTGGGTGCGTTTGTCGCAAACGTTACTTGAGGCTGTCACTTTCAGCCTTCAGGCAGGAGGTGCCTTTGTGTTGGGTCAGGCACGTGCTGTAGAGCGGCCCAGCGCGTGTTTCGGTCGACACTGAGTCCACTCACTCACCTCACTCACCTCATCTCAGGTGTGCCGAGAATCGGGTGTACAAAACCCTCTACTAACAAACCGCTTTCCCGGAACCTTTCGCGATGCTTTCGCGCCACCACGTTTCGGCATGTGTTCTGTAATGAGTACTTTCGCGGAGCTTTCGCGGCGGGCTCTTCTTCAACCACTTTCGCCACAAGCTGTTTTAGCCTTCGCGAGGCTTCGTTAGGAGTGGCCCTCAATTCACTGCTTTCATAAGGGGTTTTGGCGCTGCTCACCTCACCTCAACTCCAACTCACCTCAACTCAGTCACTCAGTGCACTCACCTCACTCACGCACTCACCTGGCATGTCGAGTCGCACCCAAAGACGTAAAGACCCGAGTCCCCGGACCGTCTTCTCCACGTCGCCGCGGCCAGCTGCTGCCTCCCATCCGCTCAAGGCGATGGCTTCCCATGAAGGCCATTTGGGACCCTTACCCTTTTCAGGCTTGAAAGGGAGCCACCAAAACGGTCTGCCCCAAAAGTTTTTAAAGTGGAACTTGGGGAGTGAGAGGATTCTCCAATATGCTTCTCCATCAACTTCCAATGGGCCTCCCCCTGCCCGAGCCCGGGTTTGATGGTGCCATTCGCTTCCAAGGCGAGTCGGTCACAAGACCGCATGAACATAGGAAAAACATGTCCCATTCGACCAGGCACAGGACTGTCCTTGAGCTGCTGTCGACTGGCATGAACATAGGAAAAACACAGCCGGCCATTCGACCACAGGCTTGTCCTTACTTCTGCTGTTCACTGCTGCCATACCTGGGTTGGCAAAGCAGAAGCCAGGTTTGGTATCCTTGCCAGCGGCCATGAGCAACAAACGGGCACCCTCACAAACCAGGAGCCGGGGGGAGGGGTTATCCCATGTTTTTGTTTTTTTCCCAGAATCCAACTGAACGATTTCAGCACCTCTCAGGACTCTGGGTGGTTTGGTCATTAAGGCAGAGAGGGGTTGCAAGTGAGGGTTCCTCTTTAGGTTCCCTTACCCATCTGAAATCACACAAAGGTATGGTTTCCTGCTATCTCCAAAGCTTTGAACTCCCAGGGCAACCAAAAGTAGGTTGCTTCATGTTGCTTCCGTGTTCTCCATTGGGTCTGAAGTTTGTTAAATCTACCAAACCCCGAAGTGGTGGCTCCGTGTTTGGTCTTCCTTTCAAGCCACACGAAACTGGGTACCTTGAACAAACACACCCTAATTCTAGGCTGCGCCAAACGCCGAGCAAGTTTGACCTTGCGTGTGGACCTTGCGTCATTTCTGTGATCCAAAAGGAAGGGGCGATTTGGTCCCACAGTCCCACACAAACACATATTCCCAATAGTGACAGATTCACCACAAAACCGAGGGAACACAACACATACTCGCTTTGGATGGAAGCAAAGCCCGGCTCGCCTTGTGGGTGTGAGCGGCCGCCTCCGCCTTGGCCATCTTCGCTGCCTCTCTCGAGACGCAAACGAGACGTGTTCGCCATCGGGAAAGTAGCCGGTGGGTGCACGACGAAGGGTAGAAAAAGGACACATGGCCATGGGTCAACACCCCCTACCCCCAGTGAACATCCCAATCCCCACTAAAATAGAGTAAAACTTGGGTGGTGAATTCACCAACCCCAAAATGGGATACCATTGGTTTTGAACCATGGCCACATCCAGGTGCCCGGTAGAAGGGAACCGTTCAACTTCCCTCCAAGTGGATTGGAGGTGTTCCGGGAGTGGTTTCCCACTTACAGGGTTCAAACCCCCCAGCCAATCCAACCAACCGTTCCGTTTTCGGGTTGCCCGTTCCCAGTTGGGCACCCAACGAAAACGGCGGGTTTGTCTCTAAATCGGCAAGCCCAAAACGTGGAAGGCGTTCTTGTTGGCTTATATACCTTCAAAGCACCACCCAAAAAGAGGCACCCGCCAAAACCCCCGCCCATATGGGTGGTGCTCAAAATCTGGGGCCTCTCCCGGTGGTTACTTTCCTGTTGGCCTCCATTTCAAAGACCATCCACACAGGCTGGGTGTTCTCGGGGTTCTGGAACAATCAACCAATTATTCATCCTTTTGCTTCCTTGCTTTTTTAAGAACGGGTATTGCGCACCCAGTAGTCCCTGATTTTGAGACACCCCTCAATGGGGTTGTCTAAAATTCCCTTTAACCCCTTGCTGGTCCTGTTGTTTAGTTTGGTTGCTGAGCACATGGCCCCAGAAATCCCTATTCGGGACCCGAATGCTTTGACATAAATCTGGTGTCCACTCAGTTTACGCAGAAAAAAGAACCAACAACATCGCATTATGTCTTAAAATAGGGACCCCCCAAACCAAAAAACACACACACACAAATACTGTTCCTCAGTTGATTGGCTAAGCCTCAACTTGATGCAGTCCAGGAACTCAGGGAGTGAACACATTGGTGGCTTTCTCTTAAAAAATAACAAGAAACAGTGGCCGGCCCTGGCTTCCGACCTTCAACTTCTCCAGCACTACGTCCTCGCGATCCATGGCCTCCTGCACCCTGGCGGGTCCGCTGAATAACCATCCTCCGCCCAACCCCCCGGCGGATTCCCATGAGCGTTGGTTTTTATTCCACACAAACTTGCTTGGACATTATTCAAGCTTCCACGGACCCTTCCGCATCCTTGCCGCGGGCCAAGAGGTCCCTTCCGCGAACTTCCGCGGCACATGTGTTTCATTGTTTGCTTCCGCAAACCTTCCGCGGCGTATGGTTTGCAAGTTTGCTTCCGCCAGAATTGCGCAGAAAGGAAATTCATTTAAGTAAGGTAGTGTTTCGCCGCAGCCATGCTAAGTGGGCCTGCAAACACGCTTTGCGTTTCTTGTACGCGCCAACACCTTCTTCTTGTACTGTAATCGGTTTTCTGTGCTTTTCCATGCGCGCAAACTGAAACATTGAATTTCATATCAGCCACGCAGCTGCCGCAAACCTTCCGCGAAGCAATCCCTTCCGCGAAGCCTTCCGCATGCTTCCGCGCGTGTGGCGCGGTGCACATTTTCCATAATCATGTCCCTCTCCCTATACTAAAGTAGCTTGCGGCCAACAAAAAACACCGCTCCCAGGGGAAAAAGGGCCCTCTTGCTTAACGTTTTGGAAGTAGATCCTAAAAGAGGTACATCATAAAATCACCATCATCTGAGATGAACTATCAAGAACAATCAAAAACAGCAATGCTATTTCGGCAAGGGAGTTGGTGATATTTGGCGTGTGTTTGTTGAGGGTACCCCGTTTCACGCTGTCACAAGGCCCTGACTTCCCGGCCTCTGGGCCGCTGCAGTCACGGCTTCCTTCGCCTGCGAGCGCGTCGGCCGCGTGAGTTGGGGGAAACGCACCACTTGATTTGGGCGTGCCTGTCCAGTTTGTGGTTGCTCGATTTGCGAAAATCCAATTTCAAGACAATCCGACTTGCCAGTGTGGAAAATGCTCAATCGACACTTGAGTATGAGGTTGTTTTTTTTTGGGCCGTTGGATTCCTGTCCGCCCACTTTGGGCCGAACTTACGCTTCGCAAGAAAGGTGCTGCGGACCGGCGCATTGAAAGGGGGTCAGTTGCTGTGCTTTAGCATCGGTGTTGCTTCCTTTAGCCTGATTCTTTGGCCCACTGCGGAGGGGGGGAAGCCCGAATACAACGCTTTCAGATTCTGTCGCATATTTAGTCTTATCTATGATACACAAAACAGTTTGGAAGAGAGTGGTTGGATTGTTTCACTTGGCCCCAAAACCATTTACACGCAAACCGGTCGGGGACATCTTTCTTACAGAGCAGCATGCTATGGGTGTACTTGTTCTGTTGCCATCTCCCCAGTCACCTTATTTGTCTTCCCACACCTATGGCTGCGTTCCATATCTACTCTACTCCAAACATGTAAAATGTAGCTCTAGAGACCCCATACAAGGGGCACTGTTTCGTCGAGCTTTGTCCCGTTTCTGGCCGCCGGACTGGAGTCGCAAACTCATGAACATCAGTGGGCGGGTATTGACAAGTTCTGATCATGATCTGCAGCCTGCCATTCAGCTTGCTCTTCCCTTCCAAACATGTAGGAACTAATCAGATTGCAATTATATATGGCAAGCTTCCTTGGACTCCCTGGTCCCCACCGCAACATCCAAACCGCATGATCTTCCGGGCAAGGGCAGGGACCTTCGGAATCAGGCCGTACTAATCCGGAGTGGTGCCCATTTAGAGGGCTAACAGTATGCGGAATTATGGCTAACATGGTGCAACTTCAAGCCATGCTCCATTGACCACCCCGTCCGCAAATTATAAAATTGGAACCAGCAATAATGGACGCTTTGGTGGACATCATGCCTACATGCTTACATGCTCGGATTTATGCAACCTCCCTTTTTGATGGTGTTCCCAAGAACCAATCGCCAAGTCGGAAGAAGCAGACCGCATGCGCCTCTGTCTCTTGCTCATCCAGCTGCTTCTCCTCACCTGCACGTGCCACGTGCAACCAGGCCCGCCATGGGAAAGAGAGAGAGAAAGAGAGAGACTCGTTGTTTGGTCGAATTTTAATGTGTTTTTTCCTCAACAAAAGCCCCCAAAAAAAGGAAACTATACCCTGCGGATTAACATGGAACCCAAAAACATCATTTGTGGAGGGGCGCGTTTTTGGGTTCATGTCCACTTGTAGGGGGAATAGGTTGATGTCGTTCCCTCATTCTAAGAACCAAGGCAGGGGACTTCTCTCCCAAAGTCCAAAGCTACGAAGAACACACGGGTATGTCGCAAAATGCATTTCAGACCCAACATGTAGGTTTGACACCACCCTTTGATTGCCACAAGAGTTTATGTTGTTTGGAGTGATATGGGTGTGTGTCTTTTGGTTAGGGGGACCCTCCAAAATGGCGGTTTCTCTTTTGGCTTCCCTTAAAACCAACCCTAAGAAGGGCACCCTCAAAATGCAGCCACGCACAGATCAAGTCCCAAGGGAACGGATTCCCCGGGCAGCATCCTACGCTCTGAGTTTCACGGCGAACGCTGACGCACGGCGCAAGAATGAAGGCCATCCTTCTCGCAAGCATTTCCAGCCGGCGGGCTAAGCAAGCTCTGACCTGTGCATGGATCCCCACATTTCGAACACGTATATATATATATATGGGTGTGTCATTTTCGAGAGGACCCAGAATGGTGGTTCTCCTCTTGGCTTCTCGTTAAACCAGAAAGAAGGGAAAAAAGACACACCCATATGTATTATGTATATATATATATTAATGTATATATATATATATGTCACCACCATGAGTGTTCATCCAGTGCACATGGCCACGTGCTCTCTCACTTCCCGTGGAACTCGTAGTAGGCGCCGATCCTTGCCCAAACTTGTCTTTTACCACTCAGTGCTTCCAGTCACCATAGTGGTTCGTTGCCTCGTTCTTTTCAACCCTTGTTTTCCAAACCCAGCTGTGTCCCCTGAGTTGTTCATGGTTTGAGAATAATCCCTGGAAAGAATCGGAAAGCCTCCCCTTCCAGCTTCCGGTTTGCCTGTTGCCTATGGCTTGCCAACTGGGCCAGCGATCAAGGCTTGGCTTCCAGGCCACAAGTACTCCGAAGGGCGCTGCGGTTGCAATCGATCCCCCATCGATTCCTTCGTCCCTGGGCCGCCCTGGGCCTTTGGCACGTGAGCTACTGACAGAGGTTCTGAGCGTAGCTTGGAGCCCGACAGCCTTGAGTCCAGCCCAATTAGAAGTATTTGACAGCCTGACATTGAATGACCCAGTGTGGGAACATACTATAGGCTGAATGCGAGGACATGCAATGTTCAAAGGTTTGAGCCATATGGATACCCAACCCCTATGCCTGCTGCAAAGGATTGAGGGTATTTGCCAATGCTTCCAGCAAATTCCAACCGTGAAACAATGGGGTCAACATAAGCGCCATTGTTTGCGGTGCTTCATCATCTAAGTCAACCGTTGTGAGGGTTCGTGGTAATTCTGCCGTCTGGATGTATTCCAAGGGACGCAGGATTTGTCTTGGCCAGGTGCTCCTTGCCAGGTGCATAGAAGACCTCGGCTGCACATTCAGGATTGCTCTGGTGCTGACGCGTCAGTTTCCTCATTGGCTTGGATTGGCGAAGTGGAGGTTGGCTGTTTCCCATTTACCACCTGCAACATATAGGGTTCACATCCCCAAACCGCCAATCCAAACAACAAATCAAGGGTTACCTGAGTAGCAATACCTACAAATTTGCACTGACTTGGTGTTTTGGTGTCAGCCCCTCAGCAAGCTCACTACTAAAGCTTGCTGGCGTTGTTGCAGTTTCTCGGACAGCAAGAAAGCTGAACCTGACTTCTCAAGCAGTTCTCCATAAACTGGGTGCCATTGTTAGAACGCTCTGATTGTGCTGGGATCCCATCTTAAAGCTGCCTCAGCTGCACACAAAAAACAAACAGCCCAAGGAGTGTCCCAATCGGCATCGGACAAACTGCTTGCCCGGAACCTGCCGGGAACGTCTCCGAAAACCCCGCGAAAAGGCGGAGAGCGCTGAGAACAAAAAGTTGTTTGGCAATACGCAGCTTGTGTTGTGGTTGAGCAAGGTGACACACAAGGATCTTCAAAAAATGACGGTCGCAAAGGCCCTCCCAGTGTAAAATTCGGACATGCGGTTCTGGTGGATTTCCTTCTTGGTTTCCCATTAAGACACAGGTCCAAAAGGCTACTCCCGAAAACACGACAACCATTTGCTCACAGCAGCAGCAAATTTGCGTGAGGGGCCCTTGAAGTGACTAATAAGGCCGGGGTTTGGCTAACCGGGTTCCTTCTGGGAGTTCAATTCCTCTTTGGGGAGCCATGGCCGCCATGCTATTTTAGCGATTGGATTCCTATGTTAGGATCCTGCATGGTACCGTATCCTGTAGCTGTTGGTTCGCATTTGCAAAGTAGTTTTTGACGAAAATTGTGACATGGTTGCCACTCAGAACCCGCAACCTGCTCAAGCTCAATGTAAGGCAAAACTCTGCTGAGGCTGGACCAAGTAGATGCACCAGGCATTAGGATCAACGGCAATATGTCGCCGATCACTCCCAGTTACCACTACGGGTACACCGGGCGTCTCTTTTTTGAGGGTGCCCCGCTTTGTTCGGCGGTTTTCATTGGAAGCCAACGGGATCCAAAGGGAAAACCGTCTGGGGGTCCGATTCCTAAAAAACGGATACACCCGAGCGGCCTGCGGAGGGCTGTGGTTCAGGATGTACTTGGAGCGCAAGCCTCAGACCAGCCACGTGAGTGATCAAAACCTGATATCAGAGATACCCCCTCCCCAAACCCCAACCTTGACATACCCGGCTTTGGATTGTGTTTCAAGTAACTTTCAAAATGCAAACCCGCGAAGCAATCTTCCATAAATGGCTCATTCCTCTGGTTGTCAGGAGAATTCCCCGGCAATCCCAGACCGAACACCGACGAATAACTGTTACGGCCTGTTGGATGGGACTCGTAGCAGCGCATTTGTCTTCCAATTGATCCCCACTTGGGATTATTGACTTCCGTCCCGTCGCTGCCACCCAAAGGCGAACATGGGCGGCCTTCTAAACCTAACACTCCGGGAAGCTGTGCCGTTTCGGGGCAGCAGTCTTTTTCACAAAAGGGGCTCGCTTTATTGGTAGATGTCGGGATTCACCCAACTCTTCATTTTACAGTGACCGACGCCCCAGTGCCAAAAATGCCGTGTGGCAGTGGATGGGGTTGGTGGAGAAGTACGTGGCCGGGCAGATCTTCGCCGCGTCCGCGTACTTCGCCGAGTCCTTGGTCTCCACCTCCGCCTCGAACAGCGACGCTTTTTTTTCTCCGCGTTTTGCTTGGGGCGCGGGTCAGGGAAAAAATCGCCAAAGGGATCATACCCAAAGGAGACCTCACCAAAGGGATCATACCCATAGGTAACCTCACCCAAGGCATCATACCCAGAGGTGACTTGTTGGAGAAATCCGATGGGTTTGCCTGGCAAATGGAAGAAAACTCGTCCTAAACCAGGGGAACACATCTATGTCTAATTAGACTAACCTAAACAGGACACCTGTGATCATAGTTAGAACCTGAAAAACTCAATAGGTGCCCAAGCCTGAAATGAACAACAAAACTATCATAACCCTTCTTCAAACCAGAAAAGAAGCAACAGAAAGCAACTGAAGGACCCCCCCCCACACACAAAAAAAACAAAGAAAAAGGTGGTGGTCTTTTGGTTTCCCTCAAAAACGCCCCAAAAAGGATACCCTCAAAACCAAGCCCCCCTCAGTTGGATCCTGCAATTTCTACAATGCCAAGACCTGTAAGGAATCTTGAGAAAAGCCTTCAGGGTGAGCTTGTTTGAGGTGAGCTCCCCATAGCCCGATCCGTGGCCCATTTCTCAGACCCACAAAAACGGAGGACATCGGGTGGTTGCAAGGAAATCCCAAACTACCAAATACGGGGGGGTCGCCCTCTTGTTGGATCCTGGTGCCTTGAAACGTCTTGTACAGGGGACACGCACAGGGCCCCTGATTTTTGGACACTCCCTGAAAGCTGCTCCGAACCACTGCAGATCGGCTATCTCGGCATAACTCCCATAGCTTTCAGCCGTTGCAAAGACAAAAAACGCAACCCATCGCCTCGCCCATCGGCTTCACCACAAACTCCAGCAGCGCCAAGTGCACCACAAAGTGCAGCGCGGCCGCAGCAATGCACGCACCGCCCAGGGCGTAGCCCTGGCCAGGGCTGGGAACTGGTCCCCCAAAATGGGTGCGCCTATTTTGAGGCTACCCGGATTCAAAAAAAAAAGGCAAATCGCAATTGTGGGGGGCCCCCTCAAAAAAAGACACACCAAATGGTTGGGTTCCGTTTGGTTTTCCTTTAAGTCCAAGCGAAAAGGGGTCCACCGTTTCGAGAAGCCAATGACAAACCTAAGGAAGCTGAAGGGAGAGTCCCAGCTTCCCTTCAAACAGATTTTGCTACCCAGCTCAGTGACCCCTGGTAGAAGAGGGGATGAAAAAAAGAGTCCCGGGCTGTTCATTTGTGGTAAGCTGAATCTGGGCAGCCTCAACATAGCGACCTGACCCGAACAACATGGGTTGCGCTCCCAGGGCCGGGGAGTTTGAGGGTGCCACTAAACAACTGTTGTACTGTTGTTTTTGCCCGGGCCAACGGGGGTTCACGAGGAAATGTGCCGACGGCGATTCTGATTTACCTCCAACATTTGTCTGTGTGTTGTTCGTGTTACGACGCGAGTTGCTTTTGCAATTAGGGGCAATTCCCGAAATACGGCAAGAAACAGGGAATCCTCGTGAATTACCATCTGTTGGCTTACTAGCAACAAAACCAACCGTACCACGAGGCGACATTTACCTAGGCTTTGCTTCTGTTCCGATGGTCGCCTGCCTTTTGCGCTGGCAATTTCTAGGAAAGAGTTTTGGTGATATTCCACAAGTGGTGGCTCGTAGCATGACACACAACAGGGGGCCCCAACACCCGTAAGATGTTCTGATGTGCTTGGCTGAGTGGCAGATACGTCTTTGTTTGCAAGCTCGATGGCTTCATACAAAATAGACAAACAAACACGCAAACAAATAAAACAAGCAACAACAGAACCAACCAACCAAACAAACAAATCAAACCCGCAAATCAACCAACCATGCAACCAGCCAACCAACCAAGCAAGCAACCGACCAACCAACCATTCCAAAGCACGCAAGCAAACAACCAGCCAACCGGCCAAATAAACTAAACCCACCAAACAACCACCCAAACACCCAACCTACCAACCACCCAACCAGCCAACCAGCCACCAGAAGCAAGCAAGCAAGCCAAGAAACAAGCAAGCAAGTATGCAAACAAACAAAGAAACAAACAAACAAAAAGACAAACGAAGAAAGCACACATCTGCCCTTTTCTAAACCCTGGTGAGATCTTGTGAGTCTAGGATCTTCATTCCAACTCCGCGGACAATATATACCCCTTTCGTGGGTTCTGAAATCTTTAGAGTCCAGACTCGTAATTCCAGTTCCACGGGAGATGGAAAAGTATGCTTTTTTACGGGGTTCTGAGACCTTTAGACTCGTCTTGGAACCCCGGCGACATTGAGTGCTGCCAAAGGGAGTGAAACAACGGGCCCATGGATGACCCCTCCACATGGATTACCTATTTCTGGATTTGTCAACTGCAAACAGGAAAAGGAAACGGCGACATAAATCACTTGAATCCGCCCCCCAACTCCAAACTAACATGGAACCCTAAAATCTATCCTGAGAGGAATCTCCGGTTCCACGTATGTTGGGGAGTGTGTCAAAACTCGCACCCGCTCCATTTTGTGGTTTTCCTTTTGGGTTCCCTTTGTGTTGCAAGCCAACCTGAAAAACCGCACCGAACCGATCAAACACCCGCGGTGATGTGCTGGACAACCATTTCGAGCAGCTCGCCTTGAGGTAGCCCGAGCCCAAGGTGTCGCCCCCGGACATCTGGTTCGTCTGGCGCGGGGAAACTTGGGGTCGACTCGGCTCTCGCAAACTCAAATGAGGCGCCTCAAACCAACAAACCGGCCACCGAGCAGAGAAAACGTGAGGAATAAACAGGGAGACATTGGAGAAAAGACCAAGTAAAAATGCTGAAACGAGCGCAATGGAGATTTGTTCAAGCCAGAAGCAGTAGAGAGCCCAGCGCCAAAAACAAGAAAGGAAAGCATGAGACACGGCTCCACTTTTTGAGGCGCTTCTGGCTACTGCACCAAACGATGCAAATCCTCCTTTTGCTTAAAAATTCTCCTGAAAAAAACGCGCATCCCCATGTAGTGATAGCAAACATACGAGCTGTTTGATTCAGCATATCGAGGAATTGAGACGGGAAACACTACGTTTTGTTTGGGCGAGTCCTTGGATTTGCTTTGCCCGAGTCTCGACATCAAAGGAAAAGAACACCACTTGGGTCTGACAAAGGCCAACCGTGTGTTTCTGCGGTTGACTGCCATGATCTTTCCCTTAAGCAGAACCCCTGGTTGACTTTTGTGAGTTGGGGTGTTCCACTCTGGTGGGGGTTAATCACTTCTGGACAAAAAACAACCCCTATTATAGAAAAGGACGGGTCTATTCGACATTACCCAGGAGTTTAATTCTTTGGCGCCCCAAATGGAAGAGTTGCAAGGGCCTTATTCTGGAAAAACTGGGATAGCTAAATCGAATGACAGCTTGCCAGTGCGAAATAGGTACGTGACCAGCACCGTGCTGACTTGAAACTACAGCAGCAAATCAACTGTCGAATCTCAAGAACTGCACCTGGTCGTGACTGACAAGCATCAAAATCAGATGAGCGCATCCAGAAAGTTTTCCTTGTCAACCATCCGAATCAAGACAATGGCATGATTCTTGTCACTGTTCTTGTCACTGTCCCAGCACGTGCCCCCTCCCCCCGAAAATTTCCTAGTTTCCATTCTAGTTCCCCTTGTGGTGTTGACTAGCAGGTCCCTTTAGGATTGCTTTGGGGGCAACTAATAAACACTCACCCAGTATCTGGCTGCATGGAAACCTTCCGTTTGCTTGTTGGCTCGTTGTGGTAAAACAAATGACCCCTGCACATTTGCGATCCATCCCTAAAAGGCACTTAAAAACCATGAGGCCATTTGATGCAACAATAGCACTGACTATCCAACGTAGCAACAATTACTCAATCATCCTATTGATGCCATTTGCCCTTAGTTGGTGGTTGCGATTGGTGGTTTGGCGACTTGAACCTCTGCGGCTTTTGTAGAGGGTACATGAGAAACCACCACCAAATCACCAATCCGAACCAATCAAAGGGAGGCTCCCCCACAAACACGCACACACACACACCAACAAAGAAACCCGCGGTTTCACGGATCGCGGATCGGATCCCGTTTCGCCTTAAAGACCAGAGCTGCTGCCAGAATGCTGACAGGGATAGCGAAGAGCTGCATGCCCAGCCAATGCACCTACAACTTGCGGTGTTTCTGTAGCGTGATGTGTGGTTTTGTGCGCTTGCTTCTGTGTCTGTTTGTTGAGGCCTGTTTGAGTCTTGTCCAAGTAGTTGTTGGGAGTTGTTACGTTTGTCACCTGGACAAGAAACAACTTACATGGTGGTTTGGATTGGTGAGAACCATGGGTTCAAATTCAACTCCAAACATTCAACCCAAGTGAGAGGGATACCTGACCGTTGCTACCAACTTGTGTGCGTGTGCGTTTTGAGCGTTTTCACCTCCAACCTGCTTTTGAGTATGTTCCCCACATTAAAATCATACAGTTGGGTGAACCCACAGCTGTCGGATGCTTTTTTCCAATTGAACCCGAGGCCAGCTTCGGGCAACAGGAAAGGAATACGCAATGAGTCCCAACCAGACCCATCTCTAGGAAAAAGTGTGCGCAAAACCTAGGGGAAATTATTGAATTGTCATGTTTTGGCCAAACGCCAACTGACAAATGGCAGTTGATCAATATTCCTGTTTCCGGAAAACGCCATCTTCGCGAGAAAAAAAGTTTCTTTCGCGAATCTTTCGCGACTCCATCGCCAAGCCCTTTTGTTTGCCCTTTTGTTTGCAGCCTGCGCTCTGGAGCCATTGTGGCTGCTGCAGTTATGCTTGCACACAGGATAGCCGCGTGCGTGCAGTACGTAGTGTTAAGTGCAAGCAGTCACCGTCATTCGCCCTTGCCACTTGCGCTTGCCGGCGATGTGCGGAACCTTGCAACAAGCTCCCTGGCCTTTCGCCGGTCTTTCGCGGATCTTTCGCGAAACTTGCTCAAAAATAGCCCAGCCAACGTTATTGATTTGCGCCATTCCCAACACAGGCAGGGAATCAATAATGCAAGTGTAGGTGTGCGTATCTCCCTCTACAAGGGAGCGGGGTCTGCAAATATGTAAGTGCACAAGCATGCCTCCAAAAATCCAACGCGGAATCTTTTGCGAAAAAATAAGTTTCTTTCGCGAACTCCATCGCCGATCTTTCGCGGAGGGATTTAAGCCAAGACGAATGGTCACCGAATACATAACTCCTTGCAAGGACCTTTTGATCAACCCCCAAATACAACTTCTGGATGGGAATGCCCTTTCAACTTCCCTTCTTTGGGTTGGCCGGGTCTCTGGCTGAAAGCTAACGGCGGACAGCCGAAAACCTGTGCCACGGCGCTGGCGGATCCTGAAAGGTGTTGGTTTACTTACTAGTAGGTCCTGCGTCCGAACCTTGGAGGTCCGCCCTGTGCACACAACCCAAACAACTGCAGGGTCTTTGACATAGGTCTTACAATCGGCCGCCTTTAAATGGATCTGGATTTGTGTGTTGTTTTCTTGCTTAAACCATCCCCCCCGACAACAAAAAAAACATGGCAAACAAAAAACAAACGAACCGTCACAGGCCAAATGCGCCTCCGGACCGCTGAAGTTGAACCTCCGCACGTAGCGAAGCACCTGAGGTCCGAGTCACCAAGCTGCATCTGCTTGTGGGTCAAAAAAACTCTTTTCCAACATGGAAGCGCAAATGGAAACATGGACCGAAACCTGCGCCGAAACCTGCGGTCCCCTGGAGGTTTAAATTTGACTCATACCCATCTGAACCAGAAATGGAGTTCACGAGTGAAAACAAGAGCAAAGATTTGGCGATTCTGGGTTGTTGAAACACACTGCTTTTGATGTCACACACACAGAAGTCCCTGCGTCTTATGCAGCGCACATCCGCACATAAGCAACATGCATGTCTGCCGCAGCTGTCCACCCCAAATGTGTCTTTTTGACTGGAACTGATTTGGCAAACCAGTGGACTCCTTGCGGTGGTGCTGCAGAGTGCGCACAGATTCTGATTTTTGTCCCGTACACAGGCCCCCTCTCTGGCTTCCAGATTTGGCCGGCTTACTTTTGCACACGAGAAGAATTGAAAGGCGAATCGCAGGTCTCTCAGCTTCTCTGATTGCAGGTTTTGGTTGGTGGTTTGGGGGTTCAGGGATGGTGTCTCATTTAATCCTCCACAGGAGCCAGGGGTTCGAATCCAAATCCAAACCACCAACAAAGGGTTGCCTGAGTTGCTGTTGATCGTCTTGTTTTGTTTTGCCACAGCCATCAATCCAAAATCAATTAAAGGTAACTGGACAATCGGTCCTGGTATGTCAACGCATCATACCAACAGAACTGCAAAAAGTGATTACAAGTGACGGACAATGAAGGAACACCCAATAAGTTGAGGTTAAACCAAGTCTCCACGTATTGGCCCACAGATGTTTGGCTGAGGTTGCAGGCACTCCTCCCTCGTCCAAAGAATCTGGAAGGCGAACTGAGTCTTTCCTTCCCGCTTGTTGTTCCGGAAAATTCAGGCATCGGGCCTTGACTGTGTCATAGATGTAGAGGTAGAGGTGGGAGAAGATGAGAGCGCCCAAGACCAGGGCCAAATAAGCCGGGGAAATAAAAGGCACGCAGACCAGCAGAATGACGTTGAAGATGCAATCCTGGATTCGAACCGGACGATTTAGCCTAAGCCCGCATTTGTGGAAAGTCCTAAGAGGCTTACCCTTGGCTAAGCCTGGGATTCAAAACACTAAAGCCATGGGGAATAATATAACCGTCTTTGTTTAGGGTACCCAGCAAAATCGCGGTTTACTTCTTATGCGTCGTGCGAGTGGACGAGCCCTTTTGTTCTGGCTGACGAGTGATCCTGGCAAACCCAAAGAGGGTTTCATCACAACCATCGTCCAACTTGGGAAGCAGTAAAACACCCTAGTGTTACAAGTGGGATCATGGAGCGCGAGCAAACGAATCTCACTTAAAAGAGCGAAGTGTAGTACACCCCTTGATACCCATTGGCTTCTCTGATTACCCCATTTCGTATGGGGTACATACCACTTTGGGGGAGAACGGGTAGGAACATCAGCAAGACTTTTGGGGTCATCAGGGAATGCTTCAAGAGCCCCCCCAACCTCCTCCAGATCCAAAGATCTGAGGACCAATTGGCAATCGGCTATACGGGAAGTGCCTCAACTTCCGGGGGATCATCGCCCACAAAAAAAAACTGAAGTTTTCAAGTATGTTGGTTCTTGTTTGACACATGCTGCAGTGATGCATGGCTCTAAGAAATGTGTCATCGCGTCATGCAAGTCCCAATCTCATTGATTGATGCTTGACTGTGCAGAGTTCCTTGATTTGTTCAGCAAAGTTTCTGAAAGAACCATTGTAGACTGTGTCAACTTCGGCTTGCTGCTCTCCGACACCCCTTTTTGTCATTGCATCCCCCACGTGGTCAGACACAGTTTTTTGCAGGAAATCTGCAACGGCATCCTTGCATGTCTCCAAGCGATTTCGTTCCTGCGCTTCTTGAATCTGGACTGCACAGAGTGTCCGAGGACCACTACTGGAAAAAAATGTTAGATATATGCATCGAACGCCATGTGTGCCTATGCGGATGTCAAAGATTGAATTGTTTGACATCAACTCTCCTCTGTTGCCAGTAGGTTTATGACCCTCAGAGATAGGCAATCACTGAAAATCAGCAAAAAGATAAAAATACAGACGCGGAAACAAACAAAAAACAACACAAAAAACAAAAAAGAACAAATAAAAAACAAAAAGCTGCAGCCAGAAACACTTCAGGGGCAGACCAGGAATCCAAAATGTGCAAAAACACGAGGAAACAAAACAAAAAAAAAATGCCGCCCGGGACACTTCAGGGGCAGACCAAGCATGCAAAATGTGTAAAAACACGAGGAAAAACAAAAAAAGAACAAATAAACGACACGATGCAGCCCGGGACACTTGAGGGGCAGACCAGGCATCCAAAATGTGCAAAAACATGAGGAAACAACAAAAAAAAACAAACAAAAAACAAATAAAAAAACAAACTGCCGCCCGGGACACTTCAGGGGCAGACCAAGCATGCAAAATGTGTAAAAACACGAGGAAACAAAAAAGAACAACAAAAGAACAAATAAACAACAAAATGCAGCCCGGGACACTTCAGGGGCAGACCAGGCATCCAAAATGTGCAAAAACACGGGGAAAAAAACAACAAAAGAACAAACAAAAAACAAATAAAAAACAAAATGCAGCCCGGGACACTTCAGGGGCAGACCAAGCATGCAAAATGTGTAAAAACACGCGGAAAAAAAACAAAAAAGGAACAAAAAAAGAACAAAAAAGAACAAATAAACAACAAAATGCCGCCCGGGACACTTCAACCTGTCTCGAATTGTGGTCCGGTCTGGATTGGTGGTTTGGCGGTTTCAACCTCTGGGCAGCGATCCACTGGACACATAGATCTAGCGGCATCTTTGAGATCTATTCGTTTCCCCTGGGTTTTCAACTTCTAGGTCCTCCAGTAGAGAAGTTTAGAATAAGTTGTTACCCTTTCTTTTTTCTGTAGTCTATTTTAGTAGGGTCCGGAACCCTCCCAACCAAAAAAGATACGGTAAAACTCGTCACTGGGGGACCTAGACTTGACTTCCCGCAAGCGGGAACCGAGGGGCGGCGAAGCGGCCCTGCTCCATCTCCCCGAGCTCCAGGGCCTCGCTTCCGAGCCGCGGGTCGCGGGTCGCGAGTCGTGGCTCGGAAGGAAGCGGCGCATCGTATCGACTCAAAAGGCGCGAGGTGTTGGTTTTTTAGCATTGTTTGGGCACCATTTTTGAGTCGATGTTTTGGGTACCCATTTTTTGTAGCATTATTTGGGTACCCTTTTTGGGGATTGAGGTATTTGTACCAACAATGGGTTCCAATCGACTCTATTCTTTGGTAGCCATTTTGTTGGAACCCAGCCAACCGGTCAAAGAACTGAGTGTCCTGGGGCTTCCTCTTGGTATGCCTGGGCCGAATGTGCCGTTTCTGCCACAGTGGCGGTTGGAAAGCACTTGGACATGTCACGACTCGTAGGTACAAAACCCGTGTGACAATCATCCACCAAACAAGCCAATTGTCCATGGTACGCGCTATGACCCGCAACACGTTGAGTGTTGGTACGGGTGGCAATTTCTGGGAGGCCTACGTCTGCGCAATGTTTGCCGCACGCACTGATTTGCCGCGTAGCCAAGCCAATCCAAGCCAAGTGAGCGAGGAGCACACAGGCCAGCACAACGCAAGAAGCAAAATCAAGCATGACTGAACACGGGTGTCTTGCTTCACTGGTATCATAGACAACATGTTCTTGACGCAGGAACATGGATGACATCATAGAGCAGCTTCTCAAAACGGAGGACCACTGTTTGGTTGCTTTTAAGGTACAGGACACCAACCATTTGAGGGTGTGACTGGATGTTCCCCCTTCAAGTTGCGCATGACCGGTGTATCCCAACAAACTGGCCACAAGTCCAACAAAGCAAACATTGAGGGCACCTGCCGTCCATGGCCCACTTCTATCCACGGCGCCTTCTCCGCATTCTCCCCTTTGATGCGCTTGTCCGCGCCCACGATGTACTGGCCCAAATGCTTGGGCAGCCACTGAACCGCGAAGGGCTCCGCCAGAAAGGGCACGAAGAAGGTGCAGGGCCAGCAGTACCTGGGATCTTCGGATCTTCGGATCTTCGGATCTTCAGATCTTCGGATCTTCGGATTCCTGGGGGTTGGTGGTGAAGAAGGTTCCCCCTGAAAGTTGAACTTGTGGGTCGAATTCGTGGAACATCCAAGCTGTGTCAACCGAAAAGTGAAAGTCCAAAGATCCAACATAGCCATAAAGAAATCAAGGGCAGCTTCAGGTATGGGTTTGGAGGTGTGTAGGTTATATGTAGCATATGAGGCACAATAGACTGCCTGACCAACTTACGTTGGTGGTGATCACCTTTGGGGCCACTGAACATGGACCCAAGGAAACCAAAAGGTGATCAGGAGGTCGATTCGCTTTGGGCAAGTCCTCGAATCAGCTTCCTTCTAGTTGATGATTTGGATTGGTGGCGTGGAGGCTAGGGGTTAGGCTTTCCCATTTACCCTCTACAAGAACCGGCGGTTCATATCCCCAGGCCACCAACCAAACCACCGGAATGCCTCATGAGATCTGGGTGTGTTTGTTCGGATGATGGTAGCCTTTCTCGGATGGTTTCTAAAGGGGCGCTAAAGGGAAAACCAACATGTTGTTGTTGGGCCCCCAGAGGCTACTATATGTCTGTGGAGCATAGGACCAGCAAGCAAGCAGCTGCTGACTGTTGACCTTGGGGTTGTCCTGCTTGTGCCAGGCAGCGAATGCAATGCTTGCTATGAGCTACATTGCAGAAGTGACTACCCTGAGCTCTGCTTGTGCACCAACTGATGAAACATGTCCAAAACACTGACCTACATACTCGCAGAACCCAACTGCCTAGTTTTGTTGTACATAGTTTATAACGACCTTTTGTTGACATGCTTCGCAGTGCTCATGGTCAATGCAGCATTCAATATAATGACTATACTTGTGCCGAAGTACACTTGCCTTCAGTAACAACTTGAAGTACAATCCAGCACTTCTGAGGCTTGTGTGCTGCCTGCCAGGCCGCCTTTCTCAATGGATTGATTTGCAGGTTCTGTCGTTTGCTCATAACTATCAACTCATTCAAGCTTCCAACGATCAAGAAAGGAGCGTCGAACGCACTGAAGATGTGCCATCCTTCAACAGCATTTCGGAGAGCCCACACCATCCTATGATTGTCAAGGGCCCTCCAATAGGGGCCCCACAATCCCAATAGGGGGCCAATAGCGACTAAGATCTGTTCGGCTAATAGGGGCTTCATTTCCTGGGGTGCCCTCTTTGGGGGGTCAAAACCCTGTTCAAAACCTTGGGCGTAAGTCCCAACCCCCAACGTGACATCGCCATGGCCGAGAATTTTCGCCAGAGCCGCACAAAGAGCAGCTTTCCCATGGACTTCTGAACAGGGTAGGACTCGAAGATCTGCTGAAAGCTGTCCTGTTTGAGAGTCACTCGACTTTGCGAGGGGGAAACAAACGCATTGGACCCTTGTGGTGTCCCCTTAAACCAGCGCCTTCTTCTGGTTTCCCGAACGAAACCAGGGGCTGGGCGTAACCAACCGCGTGGCACAGGGGTATGGCTCGTCAAAACAGGGATTTTGGACCCCGAAATGTGTGGTCTCCTTTTGGTCTCCCTTTTCGCAGCATATCTAAGAAGGGTACCACAAAGAAAAAGAACACCGGTCTGGTTTTGACAACACTGTGCAATGGATTCCCTCACAAGCTACTGCGTCTCTAACTTCGAACTGGACCAGGAAGAAAAATGCACTTGGGTGGACTGGCCAAGTCCAGACTTTTTGGCTTAAAACTGAAATGGTCCAAACCCAAAGAAAATGAAATCCGACACAGAACTCGGGGAGTGAGAAAACGCTTTGCAGACACCCGAGCAAAAAAATACCTTCTACAACAGCCCGGGCTTGAAATCCGAATCCAAAAGCCAATCCAGACCTCAGGCCCCAGACCACCAATCCAGACCACAACGGCACCCCTCACTGCGTTGCTGAGGTGCCAAATCGCCCAGCAGCCGGCCATCGGAGGTGTGGGCGCCCACTCCCACCATCTGAAGATAGCCTCGGAGTCCGACGGAGGCGGAGACGGAGAAACCGCAGCGTCCCAAACAAACTCCTCTCATCTGGTTTTTTTCCAGGACAAATCCCATGTCAGCTTCCATGCTGCTTTTTGGTTTTTGTCCTCACATGCCTCAAAGCTAAGCAACAAGTGACTCCCTGTACCTGGCTTGCTTTGGGGGAACACTGGGAATCACAAAATGTTCAGAGTCCGTTCGACACAAGTCTGGCAAACAGCTGGGGTTGCGCAGGCGTATTTAATATGGCCTAACAAAGTAAGGCCGTTCTGGAGACCCAGCTTCATGGAAGGGAAGGTGTGCGACTTTGGGGATTGGAGAAACAACAAAGGGGGTGTTTTCAATGGATGACCGTGAACCTATGCATTACCTCAGTAGCCCAATGAAAAGAGAAAAACAACCATCCAAGACAAAGAACAAAAAGAAAAAGAAGAGACGATGACCGTGAACCTATGCATTACCTCAGTAGCCCAATGAAAAGAGAAAAACAACCATCCAAGACAAAGAACAAAAAGAAAAAGAAGAGAGAGTTTGCTTCTTCTCAGGAAATTTGGGCATGACCCCTTATCAACCACCGGGTTCTTGTAGGGAATAGTTATGTAACGTTCATTCCCACGTTCCCTGACAAACAAGAACAATGATCGCACCCTTTTTCTGTGTTTGATTTGAACGGGAAACACAGCTCCGAGGAAAAACACAAAACGGGTGCTGGGTGGCTGAGGTAGGTCTGCAGCGCCAGGTCGAGGATCAGGTTCAGGATCCTGTTCATGACTCAAACGGTTCAAGTGCCTTCGGCTTGGTGGTTAGGAGCTGGGGGGCTTCCCATTTACCCATGCAAAACACCAACCAAGGGTTGCCAATGCAACCCCACCAAGCAAGGGTTGCCTGAGAAGCGGTATAGTTGGCGATTGTTTTTCCGGTTTCGCTAAGACAATCACAAACACAATGAATCCATACCACTCGCTGGTCGCACTGACGGCAGTGGACAACTGAGATCTCGTTTGTAGCTGAATCACACTCATGATGGCAGAAAGAACATGTGGACAAACAAACAAAAAACATTATTCAAACATGGACAACTTCAAGACCAAGGCACAACGCAGCGTTATAATACACGGTGTAGGCCTGCGGAATGCGTGGAACGGGCTCCGGACAGGAGAAGAACACATGTCCTGATATCCCACACTTGGTTCGAAAACCCGATAGGCAGGAAGCTGAATTTTGAAGCTACCACTTGTGCCGTTTCTGCCCCCAAACTACCCCCGTCAAGTACCTACAAACATGGCATGGGCCCATTTCAGATGGCCTTCACCTTGGAAACGTCCCCCTAGTCATCAGAGGTAGATTTGTCCGGTCCGTGATGTACCTAGAAACCGCAGCCGATTTTGGAATTCAAGCACTGCCCATATTTTGCTGTGGGCCTCTCTCTTTTCAGCCCCCCTTTATGTTTGTGAGGGCCCATGAACCCTGAGAAACCCAAAGAACAGAACGCACAATTTTTGCTAGCTGATATTAAAAGGACCCCCCGCAACAAGAAACGAACCAGACGAGCCGCTGGACAACTAGAAGCCCAAAGGCGAACATGAAGGTCAAAAAATGGGAAACGGGTCCCCCTCGCAGTAAAGTTGAGAAGCTCACTGACAGTCTCATCGTCAAGTAGGGCGTGCGGTGCAGATTTCAGGCAAACATACATGAGCGGCAAAAGAACTTGAGAAAACTTCAGGTCTGTATCTGCAAAAACAAACAAACACTCGAGAAAACCAAAAACAATAACAAAACAAAGTGCAGGTTAAGGGTGGGCTTGGGCTGGGCTTAGGTGGGCTTGGGGCTGGTTTAGGGTTGGTTTGCAGTTGGCTTGCGGTGGGTTTTTGGGTGGGTTTCGCGTGGGCTTAGTAGGTTAGGCTTAGGGTGGGTTTGGGCTTGGTTTCTTGCGTGCTTGCTTGCCTGCTGCTTGTAAGGGTGGCGGTAAAACGCACATGAGCGACTCTATCAACACCCCATGAATCCTTATGTCGCAGCAGGTTGCCTGCGCGCAAGCTTTCGCTTTCCTTGCGAGACCCATGTTTTGCTTGCACGGCAGTCAGCGAGCACGTTAAGCTTGCGCATCGCTTTGTCGGCGTTTGAGCTTTCCCAAGAAATCCTTACGTGGGCTCCATTATAAAAAAAACCTGGGAGCTTCAGCGGCTTGGCGTTCAAGAAACGGCTCAGCCCCTTTGGTTTTCGGAAATCTGCTTCAGAAGCCTGTCCTGGAGAAGGCTTCAACGGCACCTGGCGTGAATCAATTCTGCTGGTTTTGTTTTCTAGTGGTGCGCATATGCGGTCTTAGACGCGCCTTCCTGCAGCCAAGTTGCCAAGCTCGGCTAGGCTTGAACAGCACAAGCCACCAGTAAATGCATAAGCACATGTGTGAAACAACGCTTCCGTGCGTTACAAAGCTCGCAAAGAAGAACTTACGCGGGTGCTTGCCCATGTTTCCCCCAAAAGGCGCTTGCGCATCAGTTTTTGCTGTGCAGGGTTTTGTTTCGCGGTGTTATGACACATGCTTAGGATGCAACGGTGGGCTTTTGGAGCTGCTGAAGTGAGAGAGGGAAACCACACGCATATGGGTGTGGCTCAAAATTAAACAGCAGGGGTTACGCAAGTTTTGGTCCATGTTTCCACTTACCAGGTTCCATGTTGGTATCAGTTTTTTGAGCCACAGCCATATATAGCACCTGTTAATTCATAAGCCTGGCTGATTATGAGGATCATAGGGAGTTCCACCTCACTTCGAGGATGAAAATCCAAGGTCACTCCTCACACAGAACCCCGAAAACCCGTCCGAAAAAGCGAAAAGGTTAGGCGCCGTTGCCAAAATACCGAAAGGTCGGGTCCGTTCCCTTTGACCACAGGCCAAAAGGTGACTCATAAACCAGAAATGGGACTGTCTCAAACTGAGCTCTTTTGAACGAGCTTAGGCAAGCCAAAAGGAAGCCTACAGCGAAAATAGAAGTTTCTTAATTTGGAGAAACAAATCTAGGGAGACATGTTCAACAAATAAGATGTCCAGACTCCATATGAATTCATTCAGTCTACCCCATTCTTTTTGGACAAAAAGCTTGCTGGTGCTCAGTGGAATGCCCCTTCTAAACCATGCCTCGGGCACCCCTGGGTTCCTTCCCTTAGTTTCCCCCCCTCCCCGAGGCCGGGAGCCCGGAGCTTGGGAGCCCCTTGGGCCTTTTGCGTCTCGTCCTCGCTGTGGAAGGCCGCGTACTTCGCGCCCATGGAGCTCACAACGAACAAACCGATCTGCGAGCCCACCACCAGACCTGACAAAACGGAGCTGCGCTCGGTCGCCCTGATTCGATGCCACTTCGCCATGGAAAAGGCCGTGAACTGCGCCTGAAAAAATCCAAAGGCCTGGTTAGCCGCTACAGGGCCAGGGATCCAGGAGAACCTAAAGGGAAACAAGTCTCGGATGAATCAACCTTTGATTCTTGGGGGCTGCAAAAAGTGACCTACGCGGGGTTGGCGTGGGTGGGGCGGGGATGGGCGGGGATGGGAGGAGGTGTCTTCCTTTGTTGGGTCATACGCGCCTTTTTCCTGGCAAAAAGGATATGTTGAAAGCAAAGAAATGTGAAACAAACAGCAAGCTGCCCTGGTTGTGTATCCTGTTTTAGGGTAAGTGAACTTAAAGCAGTTTGAAAACAGTCTATTTTTTGGACTTTAGACTGGAACAAAGGGGTTCCGGTGCTGGACCTTTGCGCTATGGCTTTTCTTGGACGCGGTTACATGTGACCTCGTTGGTGTTTCTTGGCTGAACATCGAAGCCTGGGACACCAACGGGTCAAGGCACGACTTGGCGGCCAGCCAGGGATTCCTGGCTGGTGGGACTTGTAGAGCCCCGAGCGTGAGCAAACCGAAGAGCCCATGTCGCATGAAGTGCGGCGAGAGATTTTCTGAGAGCTAGATGTGCACAGTCAGATGCAATACGATCAGTAGCTGGCACACTCAGGCAAACGCCTGTGTGCAGAACTCTTTGAGATTGCTGGTCGGGTGTTTCTCAAAATAGGAATCGGCCCCAAAAGAAGTTGAGAGGGCCACTGGGATGTGTTATCATGGGAGGGATGACCAGACTTAACCGCAGGTCTGTACAAAGTGGCATGAACAGAAGTGCAGATCCTATTTGTGACACTGAAAGGATTCATCAACTCGCCCTTAGCCCAATCCTCAGATCCTCACGCCACCCCACCCGGCTTTTGGGGCTTCGTTGCGCGAGATGGACCGAGCCGCAAATGAAGATGCCTTCCGAGAACTCCCCGGGCTCGTCGCCGTTGGCATAGGAGAAAGAGGCCATGTAGAAGGCGTAGGGGATGTAGAGGATAAAGGTCCAAATGGCGCAGGATACCACCAGGCCCTCAGGAGAAAAATTGAAGGATGCACATCTCTTATGAACACCCAACAGATCTTGGGCTTTGCAAGGAAGCATTCTTTCTTTCCATGGGTCTGCTTGTGTGTGTGTGTGTTTGGGTTGTGGGTGGGCGTATGGGACTTTGGGGGGGGTTGAGAATGTGGTCCTCACAAAAAGTGGCCCAGGGTGCGGCAAAAGTGAGCGCTGCGAAGGATATTGTATCTTGAGGTTGTTGGCTACTTGCCATCTGGACGTCACTAGAGTTCGGTCACTAGAGTTCGGCCCTTTCGGCTGCTTCATACTAATATCTGTGCGCATGCGCTGTCGCGAGCATTTGTGGGTCTTCTTTACAGCCTTTTTAGGGTTGCCCAAAGAGAAGACCGCGTGCAGTTTTGCCAACTGGCTGAACAGATTTTGTGGGAACACGAACGGATCCCCCTCGAAGAGTAGCCATGGAGCAACCCTTTGCTGTTGGTGTGAGAGTCCTTAGATCCCAGAGTCCCTGGAGCAAGTACATTAGCAACTTGCCCGAAGTCAGCCGACGAGACCACCCTTTCTAGCATCTTGCTTTGGAAACAACGAGATGCTGGCATTTACCCTTTCTCCCACAAACATGGCGCCTGAGAGATTGCCTGTCAGGTGCAATGTGTCCTTTTCAGTTGGTCGAGTGGGGTGGACTTCCCGGGTAATCTTTGGATTTCCGGGATCTTGGACCCCCACCTGCCGCACAACATGTTACAAAACCCAAAGGCCCCATGTTCAACAAGTTGAACGCCTGGAGTCCTGCAGCAAATTGACAAATCGAAGGCCTTGGATGTTGCTTGTATTGAGATCAAAAGAGGATCTCACCAGCACGTTTGCCTCAATAGGAACTTTTGCATTGGTTGTCGTAAACCCGTGTTGAAGGGTTGATGACCGTCTGCCTCAAGTACCATGTAAAGGAGTCGTTTGGCCACAAGCGCAATGGCATCACAATACGCTGGGTTCCAGTGACATGATCCAAACTAATCTCTGGCTATGGGTGTGCGCGTTTGTGAAGGTACCCTGTTCAGATTGGTTTCTGGGGAAAACAAGTTTTGGGGGTGGGGGGTCCGAACCCCGACTTTGACGCATACGTATATCTTGGCCCACATTTGGGGTACAAAAAACAACTGACTGACGCTGAAGTCTAACCTAGAATGCAAAAAGACAGAGGACCCTCCGTTTAACATCGACCAAGAAAAGTGTCCCCACCCCCCCCAACACAAAAATGTGAGACACCCACATTTTGAGGACCCCCCCTTTAAAAAAGCACTAAAAAACAACATGAACAAGTGGTGGCGTTCCTTTGGGCTTTCCCTTTAAAGCCAAGCAACAAGAGTTGCCCAAAAGAAAGACACACTCAAAACAAAGTACAACGACTAAGCCCTGCGTAACCCTAGCTCTTTAATCTTGAGGCACACCCATATTTTTGCGAGGAGACGCCTTGAAAAAGTGGTTTGCCGGGCAGCCAGGAGGGCCATGAGGACCTTGCCAGAACGCTGCTCCGGCGTCACCGCCATGTTGTGCCAAAAGAGCCCCTCCGGCGCATACTTGCCTGAAGCAACGTAGGGCTTTGGCTGTAGGGCTTCTTAGGTTGCAGGTTTTGGGTTTGAGGTGGGGTATACGATCTTGAGGATTCAGGGGTCGTTAGGGTTGAACAGAAAACAACCGCGTCAACCCAGACGTGTCTTTTTTGCGGGTGCCCTCTGGTGGTTTCCAAGCGGCTTGGGGAACCCACGCATTTTGAGAAACCTTGCTCTTTATTTAAGAAAAACAACGAGAACAACCAAAAGACCTGGGAATCGAATATCACCTCTTGGGATACTTAGACCTGGACCTAGATCCATTGCCTCAAAGCTTGGCTGTGATGTGACGCATCAGGAGACATGTGTAGTCCACTCAAACTGGCGCTGGGTTTGTGACTCCTTCGTGAGAGCCACAGTCAATGGTGGTTTTCACCCCCCCCCAAACGGACTTTGGACAAATGATCCACTTGGCTTTGCTTTATCTAATGGAACTGGCTTGGGGGAGTCCCTTGCTGTTGTTTTAAGGGAAACTAAAGCTCACTTGCCCAATTCCGACCTTTTGACCTTTCAGCTTCCCCTTGTTCGGTCCATGCCCAGTCATGGTAACAGGTGATTGGGTCCCATTATCTCGGTTGATAACGGGTAACCCCTCCCCACCAAAACGAAAGCAGGGCTCGCACCCCACTCGTTGCAACGGGAAACCCTTTCCGGAAAAAAAAAATGAGACAAGTGGCATCCACTGGTTGAGTAATAAGTGGCAAACAATCCGGGATGCCAACGAATGAATCCTGGCTCGCTGGCAGCAAAAAGCCGAGGATCAGTCTTTCAGCTTGCAGCTCTTGCCATCAACGGTCACCTCACCGGCGCGGGTAGCCTTCACCTTGTCTTCCTGCGGACGGCTTTCCGCCCCAAAGAGTTTCCAGTATGTAGTTGGCGCAAGGCGCACGTCCAACCCATTTTGGTCTAGTCATCCCTTGAGCCACAAAACGGGAATTGTGCCAATTGTCTTTCACCCTGGTGCATATACCCTCTAGTGGCCGTGTATCCCACTAAACCATCGTCGGCAGTGGTTTCGGGGAGGGAGGGGGGAGGTGCAAACCACGTCCAAGGGCATCCTAAGGGCAATGACGAGGATGCAAGTTACCTGGAGAGACATCCGAACAAGAGGGTGTTGGTAAAGGGAAACGAGCGCCCGCATTGCAAGCTTTGGTCAGAAACAAGGGTCATGCGAACATGTTTCATGTATACACACGCCAAACAGTAAACATGATTGTATGTGAATAGACATAATTATATATGTACATATGTTTGCAACTTGTACGTACTCATACAGACATGTCACATGTGTCATCGTGTATAGATATATAAATATGTTGTTTGCTATTATCATTATTATGCCGTGATTATGATGTTTGTTTTATGATTCGGATTAGTATTAGCATCATTATAAATTATGCTATTATAATATATATATATATACACATATACACATTGATTTATGGTCAGCCCATTATGATCTACCTGATTGAAGTCTTTGAACCACAATGGTTGTAGATTGACAGGACACGGGCTTAATGCCAAACTTCCTGGTATCGCGGTCTTTATGTGTTGTAGACTAGTGTTTAAAGTTCAGAATCATGAAAGTGTGTGTGTGTGCAGGACCCCGGACCGGGAGCATTCCACGTTAAGTTGGTCATGCCAAAACAACATGCACTTTGACAGTGTGGTCTTGTGTTCTACGCTTGCAAAGTACTAACACACATGTTTTAAACGTTTTTGGATATGTGCAATAACTTAAACATATGTAAGCTCGAGTTGACTCTTCCTAATGCGTGCAGTGACCCTTACACAATTATTCATGTCCAAACAAACTAAAATAATGAACACACCTCGAAAAAGACACACACACACACACACGCACACAAGCCATGTTGCATGTGAATATATATATATATATACATAATTATGCGTACATACACCTGCAAATTGCACGTACGTATAGTCACATACATTCATGTCAGATGTGTCAGTGTGTATATATATACATATATATATATATATGTATGTGTGTAAGTGTATTAGGATGAGCATAATGCCCACTCCTCTTAAACCTTGCCTCAACTGTTTGTTGGCTCACAGAAACATCTGCATGAGCCGTCCTTGCATCCACACGCAACGTCCAAAAAGTGAAGGCAAATCATTCTAGTGCGAAGCAAGTTGGGCAAGCATCAATAACTTCAACATCAGAGAGGCCTATCCAAGCCATTCCTGTCTAAAGGCCAGGCAGAGCACACGATTACGCATGAATGTGTAAACTAATATGTGTGCACTCCCCAGTGCGGTTCAACATGCCCCGTCAACATCATACAACACATTAAAGGATTGACGGTGCTGCACCGCATAGTTGGCACACCAAAGCAGCACTGCGCAGGGTATGTGTAAATGTGTAAATGTGCTTGTTCGTGAATCACAGCAAGTTCGCAATGTGAGCCCAACAAGCGGAGAGGTATGCAAGTCAGGACAGGAAGACTTTTGGTATGTGAACCGTCAACATCTGCTTGTATTGCCTCGTTGACGTTTCGGAATTGTGTGTCTTCCTGGTTATGGGAAACTTGGGGAGTCCTCCATGTTCTTCCCACGTTGACCACAGGAGTGTCTGGTGCTTTAACGGGTACAACTCTTTCGGGGTTGTTTTAAAGGGACATCAAAAGGACGCCATTTGCGGGGTCCCCCTCGCTCGACTCGGACGCTTCGTCTCCTGGCTCTTGAAGACCACGTAGGCAATGGGGGTGGAAGACCTGCGGAAATCAATTGACGGGGAAAACGTCGCCGTGTCCTTACAGAAATGCAGCCTGGTAGCTCCGAAATCCTCCCTTTAAAGAAACATTTGCACACCCGCAGCCCTCCTTCCACCAGCAAGTATTCCCCAGCTGGAGTAGATCCGAAGCAAAGATGCAAAACCCGCATTGCGATTCAAAAGCCAACGATGCACCCGAAGTTCTCGCTGTGGTGGTGTGTGTGTGTGTGTGTTTTGTGTGCGTGTGGGTGTAGGTGCGTGTCATGGGCACTTCTATTGGTTCACTCACCTCCAATGGATGGCCCAAATCAGGAAAGAGTTGACTCAAACATCCGCATCCCTGAGATTCCAACCACCTTGACCCAACAAAAACAATGTCTGCTTATGTTTCATTTGTATTGAATTGTTATTTAGTCATCAACCTATAAAAACAAAAAACAATCACACTGAGGATAGCCTAGTAAGGTCAGCAAGTGCCCAGGCTTTGGCTAGCTGTCAAATCCACTCGCCGAATCGATCGCATGCCGAGTTGCATGCCGTTCAGCAGGGACTTCACTTCCTGCCAGGCCCGACTCAACCAGTGCATGTGCGTATGCCTCAACACTGAGCCCCCTCCCAACTGTTTTTTTTTTTTTTTAAACAAAAAATGGTGATTTTCCGTTTGGTTGTCATATGTTCCAGCCTCAAAAGAAACGGATCTGATGCTGGGCTGTTCCAAATGCCCAGTCAGGGGTCCCATGCGACCGAATCGATGGGAAGCGACGACTTGCAGGAGCAAGGGCTGAAGGATACGTGTTCACCGTTTTTTTCCACCGCATTCCGTCGCAGAAGATTGGGGCAGCTCAACTGGCTGGTGCAAGGAAACCTCAACCGTTGCTCTTTTGTTTTGTGGCAACACAAACGACGAGAACCCCTGCTCATTTGCGATCCGTCTCCAAAACCCAGCTAGCAAAGATGGGGGATCCGTTTTGGAGCCCTTTGAACAAGACGTGGGGGTGACCACAAGACCCTCTTGTGGGCTCGAGGAAATCCGGCAAACCCACGGCCCAGTTCCTCATGCTGTCAATTCCCCACACCACATATATAGTTTCTTTAAGCACCTGTCAAACAAGAATGTGCTCGATGATTACAATTTGAGTCTGAACTCCTTTCGCAAGAGAGTTTCAAAAGGCCTTGGCTAGAGCATTCTAGGGGAATCCCAAAATGGTTATATATTTTTAGTTGCCCTTTGAAACCCTCCGTAAAGGCCAACCCTCGAAGACAAAGAACAGATACACACTCGACAACGTGCGTTAAGAAAAATAATTGTGTTCCTGTTGGTTTTCCTTTGAAACCACAAATCCGCCGACCCTCGGCGCATTAAGGGAAAAGTCACAAGGACCGGTCCTGAAACACGTCCGCAAACCCAGGCACCACTTATAAGATTTTCTACGACCACAAACAAGGATTAATTAACGGAAAAGTTAGAAATATGGCAGCTACTCCGTTAATTGCCGCTTGGGCCGGCTTGCGCCCAAGTCACTTCGAGTTGGCCCGGGAGCAGTCGCCTGTCCCGGGTCGCCCTGAAACTGGCCCTCCCGAAACTGCCCCGGCGACAGTGGCCCTAGTGGCCCTGGACCGGTCGCCGGCAGGGACCGGACTTGGGACCCTGTCCAGGCTGGTCTGAGTCTGGCGCGGCTTGACTCGACGTATTGGACTCTCTTGCAGATTAGATCCAGGGATCCTGTCCCAGGACCGGTCCTGGGACCGGTCCCGGGGCTGGTCCTGGGACAAAACCTGGGTCCCAGGACCGGTCCTGGCCCAGGACCGGTCCCAGGACCGGTTTTGGCTGACTGCAAGTAATCCGAAGCGGTCCCAGGACCAGTCCCAGGACCGGTCCCAGGACTGGTTCCAGGACTGGTCCCAGGACCGGTCCTGGGACCGGTCCCGGGGCTGGTCCTGGGACAAAACCTGGGTCCCAGGACCGTCCTGGCCCAGGACCGGTCCCAGGACCGGTTTTGGCTGACTGCAAGTAATCCGAAGCGGTCCCAGGACCAGTCCCAGGACCGGTCCCAGGACTGGTTCCAGGACTGGTCCCAGGACCGGTCCTGGGACCGGTCCCGGGACCGGTCCTGGGAATCCACTTTTTGTGCTTTCGGGCGTGCCCCCCAGGGACCATCATTGATTCCAATCACTTCCAGTTGCATCCCACGCCGGTCCCCTCTGCAGGAGGCTGGGACGGGAGGCAGAGGGTCGGCAGCAGGCGGGAGCCTGGTTAATATAAAGGGTGCCAACTCCAAACATGACACCAATTTCGGGGTAACTCAAAATTACACCAATGGCTGGATTCCCTGAAAAGTTTCCTGGGCACCAGTGGTGCCATTTCTCTCGACTTCTTGCCACTTTCAAAGTCAGCCCCTGGTTGCTGGTAAGCCGAGTTGATGCCAACTAAAAAAGAACGAGTCACCCATCCTCACAGAACCGACCTTTTTTGCCTTCCACTTGCCGGTCCTCCGTGCCCACATGGTGATGCTCCAAGTGCACGTGCCAGGCATGCAGCACCTGAGCATCGACTTGCATCAAGTTGGGGACCCAAACTGGTGGACGTCGTTTAGGTGAAAGTCACTGCTTAGGAGTTCTCCCCATTAAAATGCATTGCCATTTTGTGTTTATTTGGGGCTCTGTACCCTTTTTGCTTGCGTTCAGGGAAACCCCAAGGAAAGCCTTCATGAGAAGGGCAACCGTCAACAAACAAATACCAGTATGCGCATTTTAGTGGGGTACCCGAAGTGGCGGACATCACGGTGCGGATTCACATGTCCACCAATCACTTGTGTGGGGGGGGGGGGGGTCCTTTTCATATCAGAAGCCAGCGAAACCTCAGAAACAAACCAACAAACACAACACCCCCAAACAAAACAACACAAAAAGGAAGAACAAACTCAAACAAAAACCTCTAATGTAGTTGACCTCCACCAAAAAAACATATCCCAAGAGCCTGCAAACCCCGGGGCCCTCGCCTGGTCGGTGGCCCAAACCTCCGCCTTTCCCAAGGCCGTCTCCGGCTCTGGCGGCGCGTCCGCGTGGCCGTCGGCGCCATCCTCGGCCTCCTGCGGATTTGGCCCCGGATCGCCATTTGGGATTCCCGGTGGAATGGGACGAATGGTGGATGAATGGGATGGGACAAGTGGGATTCCTGGTGGAATGGGGGATTAATTTGTGGGGGAGGGTATGGGGGATTAGTATATGCAATAGGGATTCATACATTGAAGGGTGGTTTGAATGAGGGAGTAATATATTCAGGTGGATTCATGGGGGATTCATGAATTCATGCAAATCCAAGTGGTGGATTTATGGCATTTGGGGCGGTGACATATTCCAGTGGATTCATCGGGAGATTCATGGATTGATGGGATGAGTGGATCAATTCAGCTTCCCTCGAAAAGGGTGGTTTGGATTCGCTTTCAAGTGGATCAACGGGGTTCTTTTGGATGGGAGGACTATTGGGGGAAACCACTAAACAGATTTCATACTTCCCAATAAATTGGAAAAGTTACCCATGATCATTCGGGGGCGATCCATTCAGCTTCCCTCGAAAAGGGTGTTTTGCCTTCATGATTTGGAGGTTGGGGGGTGGTATGGTGTCGGTACAGTATGTGCACCAAGTGTTGACAAATTTAGAAGAACACGTCACATTCTGCATTCAAAACATTCAAGACATAATGCGCCCCCCCCCCCTGCGGCCAACTTACAGAGTTGACCTAGTTGCCAAAGCTCAGCAACACAGCAGGCGTGCCTTTTGAGGATACCCTTTGGTGATGTGTAAAGGGGAACGACTGTTTTTTGGGGCTTCCCATATTTTGACACAATCCCAACCACTAAAGGCACAACCTGGATCCTTATGTGCTTGGTTCCGCTACCATGGTCACCTCGCAAAAAGATTTAGACTGTCGTATCAACTGGCAGGGGAATCCAAGCAACAAAGATCTGCACTGGCACTAATCCCACATATCAAGAATCAATGGTACAATCACTCTGAGCAACTACGTTTCCCCTCTTCCACCTGGGTGTCTCTTTTGTAGAGGATCCCAAGAATGGTGGTGTTCGTTAAAACCACAAAGAGAAAGAGTATCCTGCCGGCGGATTGCAACACCAGCAGCCGCAGTGTAAGTGCACTATGTGTACTTATACAGAATGCATTACATATACAGATCCCCCCGGTTCATAAGTTGGTCTATCTTGAATATCTGCCACGTGTCTATCGAATACCAGTCCCACCCCCGGCGGGCGAAGCTTGTCATCTCCTGCTCCAGCACGGTGTCCACCTGTCACAGCTGTGCTCAAAGCCATGGCTATACCATGCCAGACACGTGGCTGGCAAGTCATCATCGGCTCCAGCTTCAAATCAAACACAGGAGTTGTACAGACACTGACAAAGTCACTCATCGAAGGTCTGATGTTAAAACTCCGCGCATACGCATCCAAACAGGAATCGCGTTTCGGAACAAATAATAACCAAACATCCCGGTGAGCAACTCTGGTGCGTTAAAGGCCCTTGTCTGGCAACTCCAGACAACGACCGCGCCACTTTGCATGAGGAGCGTATCCCTCGCTGCCCTCCCGAAAGTTTTCTCAGCGACTCACCCCGGCGGTCCTTGTGCTTGGCCTCCGCAAAGTCCCAGGCCACCGACACGCCCTCGGGCTGGACGCCGGTGGACTGCAGCACCGCGGCTTTCAGCTTCTCCTCGAAAGAATCGCCAGGAAACCAACGGGAAAACACACATGCGTGTGGGTACCTGCGCATATGCCCAGTGCCCCCAACTGTTTCTTGGGCAGGACTTGGGACTTTTGACACGTTGACAAGCAGTTGGGGGTGGTTGAAACAGGAAATTCGACCGGAAGTTAGGAACTGAAAAGGGCAGCGACAGATGTCTAAGAACTCAGCAAGGAACAATTCGGAAGTTGAAGCGCCAAATACCCACATGGGCTTTTGTACAATTTCCTGCCGGTCTCTTAGAGAGAATACCATTCAAACTAATCGCTTACGGTTTGTTTCGAGTTTTGACCCTTGGGATTCCATGGTTGTTTGACCAAGGCAGAACGCAACGCGGAAGTGGGGGGATGGGGCATGAGAGGCAAGGCTCTCAAGCAAGTGGGAAGAGCGGTGAAATGGGGAAAGATAGGGGGATGAAGGGGGGGGTGGAGGTTTCAGGGTTGGTTCAAACACCAAAACCCCACAAACAAATAGACATTTGGCTGGTAAGAGATGGGGGATAGTTTGCGGGATACTGGTAGACATCACAACACGCTGACATGGGGAGAGACGTGAATCCGGTTCACATATCCAAAAGGGGTCAACATCCACTAAGAATCGGCGAGTTGAGAGCAACCTGGCTCATCGGGTTTGGGCCGCAGGCTGCTCCCGTACTCGTTCAAACGGTTTGCATAGAGTCCACACCGGCCACTTTACCAGGACGTCCGCATGTGCAACCAAACACCCAGGCTGCCAAGCGCCTGCCTGAAGAACAACTGGGTGTGTGTTTCTTGTAGAGGAACCCCCATGATTTCCTCCTGGTTTCCCTTCAGAGCTACACCAAAAGAGTTCTTTCAACAAAAAGCCACGCCCAAGCGGAAGCGCTTTACTCGTCTGGCTACGTCACTTCCAGGCGACCCCGGCCGCGAAACTTTCTGCTCCTCGGCGCGCTCGTTTCCCTTGAAGCTCGGCAGGCCTTCCAACTTGGCGCAGAAGCTCGTCATGGTGGCCTCAGGACAAACATCGCATCACATGGCTCGGCGTCTCCCGGAATACTTTTGCTCGCTTGGTACAGGACGATGGTTTCCCTTTAAGGGCTGGCCTTGAAGCATCACATTGACATGGGTCAAAACTCCGGTTATCCCCCAGTGAACATCCCAATCCAACCACTAAAATAGGTACTAAAATGGGTGGTGCACCTACCCCAAAATGGTACCGTTGGCTTTGACCCACAACCACATAGAAACACGCCAATTGCGTCCCTTCGAGTTGCTGTAGCCCTTTTTCAACGCTCTTTCTCGCGCTAAACTGCACAACTCAACATCAAAACCCAACAATGACACCACGCGCAGCATGTCACATTCTGTCAAGAGCAAATAATTAAGCCTCGAGAAACCAGTGCAGTTTTTACTTTGTTCCGTGATCCCTTCGTCCTCTCACTCACAAAACCCAATGGCAACACACATGACGTGTGCAGCTGTGAACTCGTGATCTTAACATTGGCGGCATGATCGCCACCTCATGTTAGCATATAATTAATACCACCATTACCAAGGCGAGTTTTCGGGATCCCATTTTTAGTAAACAAGTCTGGACTCTGACGCGGGCCTCCGACACCGTAGCCCCAAAATGAATTTCAGTTTTTCCTTGTGGTTTCCCTGTGAGAACTAAGAAGGATGGAATTCGTTTGTCCTTTTAGTTTCCCCTTAAGGCCACAAAAAAGAAGTAGCCCCGAAAAACAACCCCATTTCGAAATAGCGGCCCAAGCGTTCTTAACACGAACGCTTCCAAATATTTTTTTGTGGAAAATTGACCAGGTACCTGATTCATGGTGGGTTTATAAGATCCATCTGTCCTCGCAAGGGGATCCGTCTTGAGTAGCCTCCATCAAAGCTGCTTTGGGTCGTTGGCTCGTCGGTTTCTTCAGGGTTCCCCCCTAAATTGCGGTGTTCATTTCTGGTTTCGCTTTAAACCAACCCCAAAACGGGTGCCCTCAAAGCGAGTTATTTACACGAGGCATGGGTTCACCTTTCCATACTCTGGGTGTCTGGTTCCTTCACGGACGCTTCCAGAAAGGCAAACCAATCCGAAATTTGCAGAACACAAATGAGCGATCTGCAACACAATCCAGGAAGGAGTCAAGCCTCCACAATTTGTGCTCTTGCCAACGCGGCAAAGAAGACGGCGCCTCACCCATAGGGCAACACAATCTGCTTGCAATGTGGATGTTTGTGTAGTGTCTGTGCGTAAGTGTTCCAGTTTGCGTAACTGGCTGAGTTCCCATTAAATGGGAACACTTCTCGACAGAGAGTGCCGTGCATGCTTTATGCAGCAAAATTGGGGGGAGACCAACAACAACAACAACAACAACAACAACAACAACAACAACAACAACAACAACAACAACAACAACAACAACAACAACAACAACAACAACAACAACAACAACAACAACAACAACAACAACAACAACAACAACAACAACAACAACAACAACAACAACAACAACAACAACAACAACAACAACAACAACAACAAACAACAACAACAACAACAACAACAACAACAACAACAACAACAACAACAACAACAACAACAACAACAACAACAACAACAACAACAACAACAACAACAACAACAACAACAACAACAACAACAACAACAACAACAACAACAACAACAACAACAACAACAACAACAACAACAACAACAACAACAACAACAACAACAACAACAACAACAACAACAACAACAACAACAACAACAACAACAACAACAACAACAACAACCACAACAACAACAACAACAACAACAACAACAACAACAACAACAACAACAACAACAAACAACAACAACAACAACAACAACAACAACAAACAACAACAACAACGCCACAACAACAACAACAACAACAACAACAACAACAACAACAACAACAACAAACAACAACAACAACAACAACAACAACAACAACAACAACAACAACAACAACAACAACAACAACAACAACAACAACAACAACAACAACAACAACAACACCACCCGACAACAACAACAACAACGACAACAACAACAACAACAACAACAACAACAACAGCAACAGCAACAGCAACAGCAACAGCAACAGCAACAGCAACAACAACAACACCAACACTGACCAACAACAACAACAACAATACCACCACCAACAACAACAACAACAACAGCAGCAGCAGCAGCAACAACAACCACAACCACAACCACAACGACTACGACAACGACAACGACAACGACAACGACAACCACAACCACAACAACAACAACAACACCAACACCACCAACAACAACAACAACAACCACGACGACGACGACGACAACAACGACAACAACAGCAACAACAACAACAACAACAACAACAACAACAACAGCAGCAGCAGCAACAACACCAACAACACCAACAACAGCAACAGCAACAGCAACAGCGCCAGCAACAACAACAACAACAACAACAACAATAACAACAATAACAAGAAGAACAAGAAGAACAATAAGAACAAGAAGAACAAGAAGAACAAGAAGAACAAGAAGAACAAGAATAAGAAGAAGAACAAGAACAAAAACAAGAACAAGAACAACAAGAACAACAAGAACAACAAGAACAAGAACAAGAACAAAAACAACAACAACACCACCACCAACAACAACAACAAGGCCAAGTCCTCCACTGGAACCCCATTCATCCTATACATGGGGGTGCAGCGGACGCCTTGGCACCAGGGTGCCAAGGCCCTCTTGGGAGCCCCTCGTCAACCTCATGCCTCGCCCCCCCCCCCTCCCTCCCCCGCTCACGACGCTGTCCTATAGATACTAGCGGGGGCCCGCTGCTTTCCAGCACGCTGGAAAGCAGCGTGCGAGATGAAGCCCATGGCAGGAAAGTAACAGAATCAGAGCATGAAGTAAAACATATTTGCTAATAAGCTCTTAAATTCGATCTAGCAGCATTTTGTACGCCAAACCCGGGATTGGAAAGCAGAAGCGACTTTCGTAGCAAGCATTTTTCTGCCAACATAAACGGTTTTTCGCCACGAAATCTCACCATATGGTTTCTGCCCGGGCAAAGCCGGCATTACGAAACAGCCGGAGTCCCAAATGAGAATAGCAGCCACAATCACGATCATTTCGACACGCGTCCTGCCAACAATAGATCAACCGTTTGCTTAGTCGTCATAGGTCGTCGTAGCCGTAAAAGGACATCCCCTCCCGAACTCATATTTTCCTCTGTATGGGCAAACTCGTTAGAAGCATCCAAATTTTCAGCGGCAATATCGTCAAGTTCGTCAACATTCTCGGCATCATTGGCTCAACAAGCCATCGCAATCGACCGCGAGTTTTGGACGACACATCTACGGTATTATTATCTCGGAGCATGTTCTCCATCCAGTCGTCGTTATACGTAGCAGGTGTAGCACGAAGTTGGGTCTACAACAGCGCGCACATAGCCGGGCCTGTAGTAAGCACGCCGAATGCAGCACATTTACTCAAGAATACGCTCAGCGGCACCGCCCCTTGCGACCGACACAACAATACAGCTATCGCAGATGCACAGTATCGCATCCGAGCTGAGCCCTTGTCGTGTCCTGGCTATACACATTGCAGAGTCGGAGCACGCGACAAGCCCTGATGAGCTAGCTCACCGTAAGCTGGCACGCATACATGGTGCCGTCAAGTTTGGACCGGAAAGTTTCAACATCCCCATCTCTATCTGCTGAACTCCGGATAATCTCACGCAGAAGGGCATAATGGGCCAGGGCCCTGCGCCCCCCCATACTGCGCTCAAACAGCGATCGCCCCGTGCTCCGCGCAGGCAAGTTTGCTTCAAGATGGACTCGCTCCCCCCGAGCAAAGGACAATGGGCAGAACGCACGAAAACCCCTAGAGTGCCATAAGAACGCTGCAGCTGAAAAACCCTGCGGGAAGCCTTATTATTAAGGGACCTTTCTACGCGAATGCTGGCTTTTCGCAACGGGTAGACAGAGCTATGGCTTCGCTTGCAGAATGGCGCTAACATGCCCCTCACAGCGGCCGATCTGCTCGTTTGACAACAGTCATCGAGAACTACACCGCTGCCCACAGTCAGCGCACCCCGTATCGTTCTAGAGCTTCGCAATCTCCATGGGCTCCTCTCATCACACGCTTGACTTGATGGGCTTGGGCTTGAAGGGCCAACCGCACAAGGCAGACCACCAGTAATCGCATGCATACTGCGCGCGTATATGTGTGTGTGTGGTGTGTGTGTGTGGTGCGGTGTGGGGTGCGATGCGGTGTGGTGTGGTGGGGCGGGGCGGGGCGGGGCGGGGTGGGCGGGTGTGTGTATAAGTGTGTGTGTGTGTGTGTGGATGGGTGGGTGTGTGCGCGTGTGCGTGTGCGTGTGCCTGTGCGTGTGCGTGTGCATGTGCGTGTGCGTGTGCGTGCGCGTGCGTGTGCGCGTGCGTGTGCGTGTGCGTGTGCGTGTGCGTGTGCATGCGCGTGCGCGTGCGCGTGCGCGTGCGCGTGCGCGTGCGCGTGCGTGCGCGTGCGCGTGCG